AGCGACATAAGAGCAACTAAGACAGCTCGTGGCAGCTTTTGTTGCGTTCAAGGAAGAGATGAAAGCGGGCCAAGAGGAATTGAAAGGAGGCGTCAACTCCGTTAAAGAAGAGACAAGAATTTATTAAAGAGAGATGAAAACAAGTCAAGAGGAAATGAAAAGAGAAATTACTGCCATAATAAGAGCCACATTCGAGACTACTGAACGCAGACTAGACACGATTCAAGATAGAATTGAAAACATTGAAGAAATCGTTTCTCCTGTTGAACAACAAATCGAAGGCAGATTATCTGCTGCTGTCGCCAAGGAAGTTGATAGTTTGAAGAAGTCCATAACGACAGCTGGTCACAATTCTAAACCCTTAAGATCTGAAGTTATCTCATTCCAAGCCTCACTAAAACTATTCACGTATAGACGAAAGACTTCCTTTCAGGTGTGCAAGACGCAGTTCACCATAGTGGTGAACGCAACTGGATGGGATTACAAAGCCTAAAGAATGCCATCTAGCCAATTCTCTGAGAGTAAAATTCAGCAGATATCTTTCAAATTCATCCGGAATACCAAAGGTTTGACTTCGAAGCTCTATTCGGCGCGTTGGAGTTGCGCTTTTGGGAGAAGAGTTTAAAAGACTATAGGATGCTTCAGTTGAAATCTCGCCAAGAGAAGCCTACGGAAACACTCCAGGAGCTTACCACGAATGTTGAAAGGCTGTCTCAACTCTCTTTTTCGGACTGCCCAATAGAAACAAGGAAAATACTGTCGATGGTACCCGGGATCCTGAGGTATGAAAGCACAGCGAATGGTAGATGTCAATAATTTAAAATGCACTTTAGTGTACGCCATGAAATTCAATGCAGCCCAGCAAGCAGCCCACAGAGACCACCACAAACTGGAGTTGATGATTTCCAGGAGACGGCGAATCAACTAACTGCTCATCTAGACAATATAACCAGGGAAGTCAATGTCTTGATATGGAACAAGAGTGACAACAAAAAGACTTTAAGTTACTAAAACTGCAGTGGTGAAGGCCACGTACAAAGCAACGCAACTGCAGAACACCCCGTAAGACGGAAAATAAAAATCTTGCAGAGCGGACGTCGCCAGGTACTGAGAAGACCTATTTCAAAGCACTACCGATTTCTGCAATGAGTAGCAGCAGTAGTACTCTTGATCATGGGGCATATTATGAAGTTCCTTGGAATATGACTGTCGATACTGGAGCCAATGTTACCATCTTCCGGAAAGATTTAGCAAAACAGTTGGAAGGTAAACTCATCCGAAAGCCGCCTTGCGTTACCCTAGATACCGTGTCCGGCGATAGAATACACATCGATGGCACGTTGAACGTTTGGAAGCGCCACCTCCAATCACACGACATATGCAGCAGATATTACCGTCCCTTGCATATTCGGATTAAAGTCTCTATGGAAATATAATTTTTCTTTGAGTTTATAAATAACTAACTGCATTCTACCTTTGAGGACATAATCCTTTTTGGAATTAAAGATGAAGAAGTTAATACCTCCACCAAATAATAGCTCATAATGATAACAAAATAGCATCAAGAACAATAGATAATTTTTACTTCCTGAATCCATAATTGAAAACAGAAATTTCCTGTAAGGCACCATGGAATAGCCCAAGAACTGTAACAGCCCGACTATTTGCTTCAGCACTCGCTGATCCAGGACTGATTTCTCAGTGAGAGTTGTTAATGTAATTGATAAGGCAAAGTCGTTAGGAAAGGTGAAGTATTTGCAGTATGTATTCCAGTGATTGCGTTAAACGAAAACAGTAACTCTCCAGAACCGTGGCTTCGGCGAGCCTAACATCGGACTTACTGCAGAATGCTCAACAAAGCGATGAAAAGAGAAATGGCGTAGAATGTGTTATTCATTTATTTCAACATGTTTGCTCCCGCTTATTTTCTAAGGCACGCCGAACGAGTTTGTTTCAGCATAGAAGTGAAACAGGGTATCGTCCACCAATCAAGCAACATATCTCAGATGGCTAGTGATTGCTAAACAAGAAAAGGTACAAAAACTTCTAAAAGATATACCAGAAAATGACGACGTGACTGAGCCTTGAGGAAGTATATGGACACGTCCCGTGGTCCTGGTCAGAACGAAAGAGGGTTTAACTACATTTTGCTTTGATTATCGCTGATTGTACGAGGCTACGAAGAAAGACCATCTTCCAAGAATTTATGATATTCTGGACAGTCTTTCTAGAAGGAGGATTTTGACCCTTGATTTAAAAAATGGATAATAGCAGGTAGACCTGCACCCTAATGACTGAGGAAAGACGGCACTTACTTCCTGAGAAGGACTCTGGCAGGTCAAGGTGATGCCATTTGGATTATGTAGTGCTCCGCCAACCTCCGAACGCTTTATGGACGCTGATGGCAGCAAATATATCCTCGTTATCGTAGATTACTTCATCAAGGGGCTTGAAGCGTATTGTAGTCCTGATCGTGAGGCTGTCGTGGAAGCAGTGGAATGATACAACAGTTGATTTCCTGGTTTAAAATGCCTCTTCAGTTACATTTCGATCAAGGAAGAAATTTTACCTCGGCTGTAATTAAAGTTGCAAGCTACTCGGAATTGACAAAGCCCAGATTACACGTTTACATCTCCTGTCAGACGGCATGATTGAGAGGTTTAATTGAACCATCCTTAATAACCTCTTGCTAATGGTTTTCAGAAACCAACTGGATTAGGACCAAAGGTTATAACTTTTCTTCCTGTATTATAGCACTGCTGTTCACGATGCTGCTGGCTATTTCCCACCCCAGGTGGTCTTCGGTCGTAACCTTCGTCTGCCTTGTTGTCTCTTGTTTAGCCCCCCTCCTGATGCGCCTTCATCGCCTAAGGAGTACACTCAAGATCTCCAGGCACGGTTTGAAACGATACACAGTTTTGCAAGACAGCGAGTCAATTTGGCGATTGAGAAGAAGACCAGATACTACAGGAGAGCTACAGGACATCGATTCAAAGAAGGTGAGAAGATGTGGTTATGAAATCCGATTCGACGGAAAAACGTTTCTCTTAAACTGCAATTGCCTTGGGGCTGTCCTTATACAGTCCTAAATAGGCTGAATGACGTCGTAGTTCGGATTCGTAAGTCATCAAAGTCTAAGCCTAAAGTCATTCATTACAATAGGTTAGCCTCTTACTATGGCCATAGTACGTAGTTCCTATATAATGTAAAAGATATACTAAGACCATACTCATATTTGTATAAAATTTGTAAATTTATGCATTTAATTGTTGACTTAATGTTTGATTTATTGAAATTATTGCTTTATTATTGCACTGATTTTTCCTTATTTGTAAATAGGGCTTCCTGCTCAGGGATTATATTGTCCGAGTTGCGCAGTCATTTAGAAGAGGGCAATATTACGAAATTTGTACATATGTAAATATTTTTAGTGGAATTTCAGTATTTTTTTGTATAATGTAACATGAAAATAAGAACCGAAGATATGCCGGAATAGTAAGAAAGAGGGCAGTGTCTATTTAACATTGAACAAAGTGCTATCTAGCTAAATTGGCGAGATAAGGCCAAGCTGGCGACGATTTGGCAAGAGAGTTTTTGGCGAGAAATCGCGAAAAATCGGCGGGATTGGCGATCATCTGTCAGCATTTTGGTCCGGTCCCTTTATAAATATGATGGATATTACAAATGAATAACTGTAACTGATGCTCTATGTAGCTGTAACCGTATCCGTCCCTCATATGTCTTTCTGCCAATTTCGAGAAGTACTACAGTTTTTTTGGCGCTCGGGGAAAAATATGTGAAACCGGCGAGAGCATCAGTTAGCTGTAGTTGTTAGTTCAGAGCGATATCCGAGAGAGCTTCGCCTTTTAGGAGCGTTTGGCACTGCGTTTTTAGAGTTCTTAATTATTTGAAGCTTAATTAATAAGTTTACTCTATGAAACTGTGAAGAATTGTACGATTATTTTTTGTGGAAAGTTCCAGAACTGTGAGGTGTTCCTTTGATAAAAAATAAATTTTATCACGCTCTCATCGGTTCTGTGTTCAATCTACTAATAACCCGTGTACATGCAGCAAATGATATGTAAAATGGAATTTCATAAATACGTAGCGTGTATGCTTTGCATTTTTATATTTCATATGAAAAGTAAAAATTGAACTTTTTACAAAAAATTCAGAAAGGATCAAAATACTAAACTATGGGTTTTAGCGAAGGGTATGCTTTTGTATTGATGAAACAAGCGCAGTTACGTACAGATCAGTCAAAGATTTAAATATATTATATTGAATAAATTATAGGTTGTGCAGATGATTAAACAAAAAATGTCGATGCCAATGAACGCCAGCTTAATGTTATTTAATAATTACAACCTATTGGCAAGACCAAGACCTGGCTTTAATTGGACAGTGGCTCGAGATATATTTGCAAGGCGATTTCTCGGAGAGCTGTAGCCCCCACAGGTGTAAATGTTTTGATGTGTGGGAAGCTCAGAGAATTTAATTCAGATGTTAGATATTCAGCGATTTGCTTTTTGCTCATCCTCATAGAGCATCAAATTGGGTCTTCGAATGAGTGCAACAAAAAGCTTTGTAGATTAACGTACTGCTACCACACTGAGCAAATAGATAATGTTGTACCACCGGAAAGGGAGTTTTCACAATATCGTATTTCTTCTTGCCTTGCATTATATTAATTCATTCAATTCAAAATCTCAATTACTTGACAAGAAATTTGAATACGGCATCTTTTTAAATTGAATTTAGTTACTAAATCCCCAAAAGGCAGCTGACTATTACTGACACTCAAATACAGAATCTTTATTTATAACTAGAGAACTTGAATTAAGTCTCAGGTTTTGGGCAGCAATGAACGTTAAATTTATGGGAATAATGATGCATTTTATAATTACAAATTTTGGTAATATTTGATTAAATACTTTAAATTTATATTAAGCTTGTATTTTGATTGATGTATTGCTTAAGTAGCGACGTATCCGTTCCAGCCACTATTTTTGTACCTTGCTGAAATATCTCCTCATATTGGTAATAGCTATGATCCTCTCCAAGCACCTTTAGAAATTATTGAAAAATTTAGTTATATAAAGCACGAACCAAGAAGGATTCATGCTGGTAAGCATTTTCTCTCTGAAATAAATAAATACTATTCTATGAAACAAATTCTTCATCGGGGTCAGCAATTAAATATTAGACGTTCCAACCGTCTATTTTCATGAAGTCACATAATTGCTTATATTTCTTGCGATTGTGAACATCAACATACTAAGCATTCATGATAAGCCAAATAAACAGAAATTAGAGGTATTGCACTTATGATCCGATTGACTTGTTGTTGTTTATGGACAAAAAATTTCAAACATTAAAAAACATTTCGAAATTACAAAAGAATAAATGCATGAAGAACTTTCTAAAAATATTGAGTTAAATGAGAATACTACATCAATATTATTCAAAACAGTGTTGAACAGCCTTTGTCAGCCTTTTGGTCTTAAAGAAATTCTTGAATTAATTTTAGAAATTGTTCATTATCACGATCATAAGAGTAGAAAAAAATTGAAAAATAACCTATTAAAAAATTTAAAATGCTATTTTTTTGTTATTTTTTTATTTTATTTTAAATTATTTATTTGAAGGAGGGGAGGCAAATTTCTCAGACTATATTTTCTTTTTTCCTTCTTTCACTGAAGAAGCACGCAACAGCATTCAGTACAAGAGGATGAAACATTTTTGAAATTTCTACTGTCTCATTTTTACTTTCTTGTACGAAGTAAAAAGGAAGTATTGTAATCGCGAAAAGCTTCAGGCAGCATATTTCAACGAAAATATCCACTTTGACCACTTTCGAATGCAATTTAACGATGTTTTTGCGTGATATCTGTACGTAAGGACAGAATAAAAGACTATTTTCCTCCAAAAAAATTATAAAACTGCTTTAAAATGAATTCTGAAGAGAATTTTTCGTGGCGTCTGTACGAACATATGTACGTACGTGCGTACGTATCTCGCATAACTCAAAAACAAGCAGCCTGAGAACATCGAAATTTTGTATATAGACTGCTATAACATGTAGATGTGCACCTTGTATTTTGGTTGCAATCGGCCGCACCAAACGTATATAAATATATTTATATGTATGTCCACTCTGTTACCCGGCTCAGTGATCTCAGTTTCATTACTCTTATATGTTTGTAAATTGTACATTTTTGCTTTAAAAATGATTGAATTATATTCTTTTTATCTTTCGGTTAAGGTTTTTATGCCTTTAGTAAATCTCTATGCAATATTTTTAGAATTATCAACAATTTTAAAGTTGTTTAAGTGCCGCTAAGCCTAATCCTTTTCTTGATGGCGGCCATTGTTTGTTTACATTTGAAACAGCAGACTAGTGGATTTGTTGCCAATCTAGAGAAACGTAGCTTCGCAACAACAAAGATAACACCTTCATTTATTATTGCCAATTAAATCATGCTTAATCCTTTCTGGAATTTTTTCGAGGAAATAAGTGTTTACTTCGTAATTTTTAATTTAGATATTTTGAGTTTTTGTATTTTTACCTTCTTGTGAAGTGAGAACTGAATTAATTGAATGAGAAATACTCAATAGTCTGTGAAAAACTGTTTCTTTTTTGTTTTGTTTGCTTAATTTCTTTTACACATCGTTCTAGCTTTATTTAGCTTTATATAGTATTTGAATAGAACATGTGGCACCGATTAGATAATTCTCTAAATGATATAAATTTTGTGCATTCTGAGTTATAATACGAACGAAATATAACACTGTTAAGTAAACCTAGCGCCAGAGTGTCGCTATGGTAAACAAAGTGAATTTTAAAGAATGCATTTATTCTATTGTGGTTTATGCGCTGTCGGAGAAGTAGGTTTAATTCAATCTAATAAGTTTAAATAAAAGGCAAGAAAAAATGCGTATAATTTAATATTCCGTACAAGGAAGTCATGTGGTGTACACATCAGATTTTTTAAATTAGTTTTTTTAACATTACATATACAAAGAAATAAAGTGCATTAGAAAGTTAATAAAAATTTCGTATTTCAAACTTATTTTAATATTTCAGACTTGTTAAAAGTGTTAAACGTCCAGGATTCTCATTCGTTAGTTTACGGTAGTTTTCAATATTTGCACCCTGTGCTACATCCAAAGTGTAGAAAAGTTTTCGTAAAATGCATGTCTTGTATTCACTGCAATAACCCCTGCAAGCGCCGTTTTTGGATGGTCTAAAGAAAATCTTTAAATGAACTCTCAAGATTTTTAAGTAATGCGTGAAACTCACGCTACGTTAGTGATAGATCTAGACACCTGACAGCTTATGCCTATTTCGGTGTTATCTTGAACACCAACAATAAACATAAGAAGTAAACTACTAGTAACACTAAATCAGAAGTCAAACAACAAAAATCAGCGTTATATTTACCAAATTTTAAAATTAACAAAATTTACAAAAATTTACAAAATTTGGTAAATATAACGCTGATTTTTGTTGTTTGACTTCTGATTTAGTATTTATTCGGCGTGTTATTGTGTCTTAATTACTAGTAACACGTCAGAAACTTAAACATTTGCCGTTGCTGACGGCTTGGATTACGACTACGCATGAAAAAAAAAAAAAAAAAAACTGGTATTAAATTACAAACTGCACCATTCTAAAGGCTACCTAATGTCTAAGACATGGTACGTACATGGGAGATTTTTAATTTTAAAAATAAATAAATAAAATTATCTTAGTATCCAGCTTTATTGGCAGAAGCAAAAGTTAGTCAGACATTCTTAAAAATGACATTTTGTTTCCTTTCGTAGATGTTATAAACATGTAACAATATACTAATGAAAACGAGTTAATAAACGGTTTAGAGAAATTTGAGACTTTTATTTTAGCATTACTTGACTTTGTTTTGTTTTCAATGACAATTTCCCGAGAAATTCGCAACAAAGTCTAAAGGAAACACAAAATTCAGTGGTATTACTGGGGGGGGCTGAAAAGTTCCCTATGAAACGAGAATGTTGTATTAATACCTAATATTGAACGAAAGTAACAGAACGAACGCTGTTGGAGTTGGCCTGCGTCTGGTGTTAGCCATACGAAGTTTAAATGCCAACTCGTCGGAAGATAAAGTACAGGGAAAGGTCAGACTCGTCAAATTCTGGAAGAAGCCCTTTGGTTAAACGTAAGAAAGTTTTGAAAACTACGTAAGATTAAATCTAATTTATATTTAATTTACAGATGCTTAAACTTTCTACAGTAAAGATAAACTATCGTCTCGCCTTTAACTTAACATTCAAGAATATTAAAATTACACTGAAGTTTTATTTATACTAATAATTTGTACAATTCAAAGTTTAGAAACATTCTTTTGACAATTTAAAAATTCAAGAAACAATTTGTATACAATTAAAATTTATTAAAATTGAAGAAACAAACAAATCTTACACTTTGAGGGATCCTTAGAATCCAAGAAAATATTATTTAGAAAAAGCAAATTGTAAATTAAATACCTAAAACCAGATTCCTGATTAAGCATGACTTCTAAAGCAGTCTGTTACTTTAAAAGAGGCATTTCAAAGCCTTTTCATATCTCTTTTGAAATTGAAACACATGTCGTCATTACTGCACAGCATTTATTTTCTCTAACTTACTGTAGTTGAAGTCATCCGTGCAATTCTGACGAATCGAAACACACTAAACGGAAATAAATTGTGAAAACAGTTTGAGAACTCAATCAACAATTGTTTACGATTCACACGGGGCGGGGGAAAATGGCCTAAAGTGGATATTCTAAAGTAACACACTGTTTCAAAAGCCAGAACTCACCGAAACTAGCTCAGACAGATGAATTATGGGAATTAAAGCGTCGCTGACAGAGTTGCCATAAAAGATAACGGTAAATCTTCGGATTATGGTAACTTGGCGACGAACTCTGCTACGGCAACCTGCTAGTTTTTTTTTTGGACGCCATTTTGTTTTCACGAAGTAAAGGCAATTTTTTTTTTTTTACTCAAAATTTTTTTCCAACAATCTGCTAGCCGAATTACGCTTATGCTAGAACTTTTGTGGAACAAAAGTGCTTAATCATGACGAAGATTATGTGCGAAATTGGGAGAAAGTGCAGAATCGCCCACTGCTCCGCGCGTTTTTAAGAATTGCGGTATCCATGTACACGTCGACCTATTTTCACTGAAAAAAAAATCTCAGAATTGCACAAAAATGGCATTGCGCACACTCTTGACTTTATCCATGTACACATCGACCTATTTTCAGTTAAAAAGTCAAAGAAAATTGACAAAGATCCAATTCTTCTTACTCTTGTAAAAAGCGCCAAAGAAATAAGCGGGCGATTCTGCACTTTAGCAGCGAAATTGTTGTGCTTATTAGCTAAAATTACGATCGGAATTTTCCGGAAAATGTCACATGACATGTCTCATGATCTCTCATGTCGCCAAACTACCTGTTACCATATTCCAAAGATTAGCCAATATAACATATTAATTAAGCTTACAAATATCTTTTGAAAAAGTTATGCTAAGACTAGCATTAGATTCAGAAGTTTGTTCTTCAATTTTAATGACAGTGATTGAATTATGAGTTTAGAAACTGTTCTATTTCCATTCTATAATAAATGGCCGTCGATCTTGGCTTCCCCGAAAAGCTCAAGTTTCCTTCTAGCTACTTACCTTCCTCATTTTCTCAATTAGACAAGGAATGACATATTCTGAAGTACAGTGTAAATATATAATAGCATAAATTATACATAAACAAGATACATCCATCTTATTCCTTAACCTCAATATATCAAATAATCATATATAATATATATAAGGTTATAAACCTCAATTATATCAAATAATATTAAAAGGCAAGACCCAATAATACATTTAAAATGTTTCTTTTCGCATTTCGTATATTCTGTAGTTTTTTTTAAATGTATGAAGATGTAATTTCCGATTTGAGAAATAACATAGCGCATCGATTATTAACTTTTTAATTTTTTTTCTTTATTCCCACAGCTAAGGTTTCTGCTATGGACGATTCAGTAGGAAATATATTCAAAGCTTTATATGAAAAAAGAATACTGGAAAATAGCATCATAATTTTCGCATCCGACAATGGCGGCGAAACTGATCCTAACAGATATGGCTATTCTTCTAACTACCCACTTCGAGGCAGAAAAATGACTTCTTTCGAAGGTGGTGTTCGAGTGCCGGCACTCATATGGAGTCCATTATTGTCACTCAAAGAACATAGAACTTCAACGCAACTTATGCATGTCACGGACTGGTTACCTACTCTTTACGCAGCTGCTGGTGAGTACATGACTGAAAAATCACATTCATTGAAAAAAAAAAAAAAAAAAAAAAAAAGCAGTTCATATGATATGGAAAAGAATTTTAATATTATGTACAATTGGAATGGCAATGTTATGCGAGAGTAATATTTACATATATATTGGAACTAAATGTTACAATCAATCAACAGGATATTTTGTTAGCTGACACGGCTTTGTTACCAGTGAAAGTTTAGTAAATGTGAGTGTATTTGTCTCGTAGTCAGAGAATATGAGAATTAACAGTTAAAAGCGAATATCCACTAAAGTGGAATGTTCATTGACTATATTTTAGTTTTGACTAATGCAAAACTAGAATACATTGCTTTTTTCCTCAGGTCAGTTCTAACTAAATTTTATGCAAAATTTAATACACCCATAATTTTAATGAGAGATCTTTACACAAATGCATAATATTTGATACTCATAACAAAAGAATGAACGACATACGTATAATTATTGGGAAATTTTGTAGTGTTTGCAACCACTTTTGCTTCTCATTTATGTTACCATTAATGTTCGAAAATTGCTAATGAACACATTACCTAGTTAAAATTTGTTCTGTAAAGATGCAGAATCCTGTACAAAATAACGTTTCCTCAATTTATCCAATAAATGTATTCCGAATAGTTAAGAACACCTTAACTATCCGGAATAACTAAACAATATTAACCCTAATATTGTTTCTCTCCTTCCCTTTCCTTCCTGATACCCTTGTTGTAGCTGCCTATTTAGCCGTTAGCAGCGCTTGATGTTTTTGTAGCGACACTGTTGCAATTGCTTTCGAGAATGGCTCCTGAAATAGATTTAATCGGCAATGAATGTTGAACTCTCATTTTAGAAGTAATTTAGAATAGCTGCTTATGTAAATAAACCTGTAAATAGTTATGTATTGTCTTGATTATTTACATACTGAACTGATTTTTCGAAGCGTGTTTACGGTAAAGCCTTTTGATCCGTTATGTACTTTTGAAATTCCAAGATACTTATTACTCCTCCAGCTTTTTAGAAGCCTTATGTTGCTGCATTTTGCGTTCGGCATCTGTTTTCCATGCTTAATCACATAGCTTGTTATAGAAGTCAGTTGCTGTGTAATTCAAAGTGTCTCCATACATTAGCCTGCGCTAATAAATAAACATAATTTTATCGTATTTTTATATTTCTTCGTTTGTAACAACACTTTTACACTGTATAATTTATTCTTTGTATCATACTTTATTAATTGATTGATTCTATTAACTCTTCTGTTGATTGATAGATTCTATAAACTTGATTCTTTATATGGAAAAATAAATAACCCCGTTATATTTCAATAATTATTTTTTTTTTTTAGTCTGCTAGCGGCCGAGCGGTAAAGTCGCTGAACACTGGTAGTTCGGTCCGAGGTTCGAATCCCGCGAACGGGCTGGCTGCATGGGTGTTTTCGTGGTTTTCTCCATGTGTAACGTGTATACGAATCAGTTTCCCTTAGAAAGTCCTCCTCGAAGGCATCCCTCTTAGGCAGATAGCCCTCGAGGCTTTGCCATAATCACACACACCACACCACCTTTTAGTCTGCTAATAACTGCACTAAATTAATCAGTAAATAAATATTTTTTGCTTGGCTTTAACATTTGCTAATATATGTTATATTTATACACTTTATTTACAATCTGCTAATTATTATATGAAACTACTCATAACTTTATAGCATAAAAGTATAGCGTTTTTTTCTTAATTAAAATATCCAATATTACTGAGTTGTTTGTCTGAATATTAATTTGAGCGTAAGAAAAATTTTATTTTCATTTTAAGGACTGCCTAGTAGATAACGTCTAGATTTGCTACGTAATACGTAGATTAACTAGGTAATGTGAAAATGTCAAAGAATGTTTGCGAAACGTAAAAAGTACTGCGCTACTATTTTAAGGGTCTAAGGCACTGGGCTACAAGAACTGCTCATTAATGAGGATTGTCCGCCAAAGACGAGTGTCCATTAATAGACGTTGGACTGCATAGTAATTTTAAAAAATTCAAAACAAAATTAGCCTAGAGATCTTACGATTATTCAGCTAATTGTTTTGTCAAACTATTACAGCCTTTTCTATTACATTTCCACCCTCATTAGTTTCATTTGGCTTTTACTTATCATTACCAGATTTGAAAATACCACTTTTCTCAAATTCTAAAGTTTTAAACCATGGTTTCGTTCTTAAACTATTTTAAATGTTATGATGTGTAAATATATTTTTCATATGCATTGTTGCTTTAACGGCCGATCATATTATATATTACTTCTTCTAATTTGATTTAATTACATATATTGCTCCTTTGCATATTTCCTTCTTTAGAACTCTGCGTTTTTGACTGTTTTCTTATAATACTTTATGAAAAATTGAATTGTCAGTCTATAATTAACCTTCTGAGCGGCCCGGTCTTTTGGATCTCTCATGAAGATCTGTAGCTAGACAAAGCCTTTAATACTTAAATTTGCAAATTTATCTACTTTATTGTCTATTTTCATAAACTTACATTCATCAAGATGGTATTTATTATTCATGAAAGTAAGAAGGTAAAATATCTTAAATTATAAGCAAGTGACAAAATTCTCATGACCAGATAAAGCCGGCCATGGCACTCAAAGGGTTTTAATAAGAATTTTATGAATATGGTATTTCCATAAGTTACTACTAGACATTCAGAAATCTAAAAATAAAACAGACTGTATATTATAAAAGGTAAATATTGATCACTTTTCAGTGTATTAAGAGATTAATTATTTAATGGCTGATGTTTAGTAAGCTAGGTATACTTTAATAAGTTAGATAAGAAAATTAAGACAGTGAGGGCACATGACTTTGACGAGCTAGCAGGCGAAACTCCATGAACGGTGAAGGAAGCGAGGTAAAAGTGGGGATACCATTGTGGTTCTGTACTGCATGTGGGGTAACCTAATGGGAAGCGAAAGCAGACCAAAGTCAGTCTGCGGAAGAAAATCGAACGTTGGCAGTCAAAGCTAGGCTACAAAGCTGTGATCTCTAAGCATGTGAGTAGAAAATGGTCTGATCAATTTATGTTCTGGGTTGATTCAGTAACTTCTGAAAACTTACAGCGTTATAGCTAACTCTAGTGTTGAAGAAATGCGTTTTTAGTAATATGGTCGATTATAAGTCCAATTTCAAGCCTTCATGGATCAGTTTGTTTACGATCAGGTAATGATCATTCCCAATTCTTCTCAAAATCTTATTCGGTACTACCTAGAATGTGTGGAAGTTTGCTTTTGAGGCTGACGCTCAGGCTGCAGATGCCATAGCATAGCATTGGCCTTATAATGCATAGGTTTATTTTATGAATATTGCATAGGTACGTTGTATAGTAGGAATATGCGTAGGTTGATTTTATGAACATAGTAGAATTAGGTTAATAATAGGTTAATGATATAATAGGAATATGCATACGTTAATTTTATGAATATGGTGAGTACAGAAAACTGGTTGGCAATAACATAGGATTTTCTTATGCGTGCTTAATATGACAAGTCCATGTGAACCTTTGGTCACTAATAACCCGTAGATAACTTACATTATTTACCCGGTTCAAAATTTCCCCGAATAAGTAGAGGTTCGAATCTTGGAACTAAATTTTGGGCCTCCTTTAAGAGGAACTTAGACTTTGAGCCATTTATACTGATTTTCCATTTTCTGCACCAACCATTATCATCTAAAAAATTCTGAAGTTTGGAGATGGCATTATTGGGTAGGATAGAGCTCACGGCTACCTCAGTATCGTCGGCATGGCAAGCGAACATAGAGTTATGATCCAGCTTATTTCTGAAAACATCGATGGGCGCAAGACAGGAAACCTGGAGCACTCCTGCAATGATGTTTCTGAAAGTTGAATAGACATTCCCTGACTGACATTAAACGTTCGGTCGGTAAGAAAGAATTGGTTTGGTTTATTAGAATACGGCAAAGCAGTAGAGGGCTATCTTTCTAAAGGGAGCGGTGCCTTGACGTTTTAAGGGAAATTCGCTCGTTTACACGTTACACATTGAGAAAACCACGAAAACGCTCATGCAGTCAGCCCTTTCCCGAAATTCGAACCTCGAACCGAACTACCAGTGCCCAGCGACTTTATCGCTTGGTTGTTGGTGGGCCGGTAAGAAAGGAATTGAGGAGGAAAATAATATCCCGACCAAAATTCATCTTGAGCGGTTAGTAGTCTATTATGTCAGACGCAGGAGGATACTTTCGCCACATTTAGTATGCGCAGTGCAGTGCTTTTCTTATGGTGAAGAGCAGCCGCGATAAACTCAACTAGACTGACTAGTTGCTTTGAAGTGGACAGCTGCTTCCTGAATCCGTACTGATCGGGATCGTAGGGAAGCAGTTGGAGATGTGGATTTATTCTTTTTAATATAATGCGATTGTAAATTTTGCTGAGATTGGAAAACAGATTTATACGGCGAAAATTCTCCTTTTTGGTGCTGCGCCTTTCGGGCTTGTCGAGAACAAAGACTTTAGCACTTTTTCAGAGATTGGAAAAATAACATAGAGTCAGGCAGGCATTAGTAACTCCAACGAATTTGGGCGATAGTGTTGGAAGATAAATTGCGTAACACGTTGTTGGTAATTCCGTCAAGTCCTGAGGCCTTTTTAATGTCCAATTTACGCATTGTATTTTAGATTTGACCAAGATTAACGATATCAGGTATATGGCTTGATGCATAGATTGAGATGGGATTGTTTTGGATGAACTCAACAATCCCATCAGTATCAACGCTTGGTACTGATGTATCAGTATCAGCTCAGTATCAACGCTTGATACCATAAGGAAATTATTTCCTTTGCATATTCTCGGTTTTAGTGTCTGTGGTCTGTTTTAAGTCTTCAGATACTTACCTTAAGGCTGTGTTCTACGAAATTAGACACAAAAAGGAGCATTTTTCTGTGAGTCTGAGTATTTCTCACAGAAATTTTAAAGTGCATATCAGACACTTTATTTCCTTTAAAGTCTATCATATTGGGGATCTTTGATCATTTTTATGAAGTCCTTTCGCTTATACGTGGAGTCCTTTACTACAGTAAGAAGTAGTCTGAAAGTCTGCTTCGGGTGCTGAAATTCTGCATTACCTCCAATATCATTATCCTGATTTATATTCGTTGCGGCATATGGAACATTCTTATTAACATTTACATCATAATTGGAGTTACTTGGCGTGGTAGCTTCATCCATTTGTTCGACAAGAGCAAGGATGGGATTTCTTGTGTCAAGTCCTGATTTCAACTTTTATTACTACGTGAATAGTTATCCTCTTTCGGATTTTTGCTTTAACTTCTTCATCTATCGAGGTTCGATCGTTTGGATTTGATATAGAACGATAAACTCAGGCGTTAGGCTTCTTGAGCTTTTATTGATGGTGCGCGTTGCGCCATCTTCCATGTACATAGCTTCGGCGCTTGCCTTTTAATCATCGGATTAGGGAAGTGATGAGAGTAATGGCGTGAACTCAGCATGGGTTAATTCTTAGAAGGAACAGTCGTCTGCTCAGTAGACGCTTCAGAAAATATAGCAGGCTGTCGGCTAAATTAAAGATTAAGAAACCCTTCATTTTAATCAGTGTGCCCAGTTCAGAAGATTCTTTTACGCTGATAGAGCCATTTTTCTCCTGTCTTGATTGGAGTCTGTAAACCTCCTTTATGTAAAATATGGCTTTACCTCCTCTGTGATGAAGTCCAGAATTCGTTCTAGCATTCAAGCCAGGTTCAAATCCCTGAAGTTTCAGTAGAAGATAGTAAAATGATACAAGTGCCGAAGCACTTTGTACCACGCATAAGGACGTTTTGCATAACGCTTGAACTAAATTTCCAAGTGCCAACCTCTTATGAGCAATCAATATAAATACGCTCAGCAGAAACATCTCCTCTCCTGTCTTACAATCTAACAGCCTCAGCTTAAATACTCTATCGAATTTGCATTCTGATGAGAAAACGGAAAGAGAAGTGACAGTAAAGATCTACATCATAAAATAACTAGTTACGCAAACTAGCAGCAACCTTACAATGTAAAGAAATAGAAAAAATGTTAATTTTTTTAACTTTATAAATTTACTGACGTCTCGGCCTTATTTATCTGATTTTTCCCCATTTGTAGGAGAAGCTTTTTGTTTTCGACTAACTGGCAGGTATTAAATGATATAACATAATTACCCTCATAAAAGTAAGTTATTAAATATGTGTAAGAAGGACGTAATGTTTTAAGGTACCTTCTGATTTCTTTCAAAATTTAAGTGTTTTGTTCGTTATCTGGTTCATAATTTTTTTAACTTTGTTATTCATTCTTTCTTAATAATTATTCTCTAGGGCTAGAAATTTAAAATTTCCATTGCGTATCTTGTCTAAAATTAAAAATCTCTAAAAGAGTGCAGTAATGTAGAGAATGCTCATTATAGAGAGGATGTTCACATATTTTAATGCAGTGAAACAATTAATCATAACTCATATATTATTTTCTGAATGCTCGATACGATTTCTGTTGCTTGTGCACCTTGATTTCTATAACGAAATTGCATTTACTTAAATTTAGTGTGAGAAAGTTTTCTTTTCTCGTATCAATTGTCTTTGGTTTACTCGCATAAAGTGCCGTTTTTAAGAAACAGAAAGCACAGTAGTTTGTCACTGTCACAATAGAAGACGAAAACTTTATAGAAATCTGTTTCCTTTTTTGTGTAGAATTCCAGTAACAGATATTGACGTGTGATGCTGGTTTTGTCTTGCTGACACATAGCCTTGTCTTTCTTTTACACTGAGGGATCAAGAAGTAAGATTTCATTTTTAATGAATTGTTCACTTCATAATGCCGCATAACAAGTGCAAGATAATGCCGCATAACAAGTGCCGCACACACTGAATTACTCTATATATCAGAGCCCTTCATAAAGCCATATTTTATATAACCGTCAGAATATTGTCGAACCTAGGATGTTTTCTTCTTATTTTTACGTGTAAATAACATCTGATGCAGCCGTTTATTTGCGGCGATTCTCGGAACTTCGCTGAACTTCACTTCGCTGTTTATCGTTACTGTCGGCAAGAAAAATTTTCTCTTTCTGGACATCATTTGATTGTTCATCGGTTATAACCGACACACAATTTTTCGCTGTTTTATTAACCATTAATCCATTGTGATATAATATTATAATTAATAGTAAATAAGAGCAAAAAGAGATGCGTAGTATCTGAAATAATAAATACCAAATAATCACTGAAAGTGCTCTAAAGCTGTATAGCCACCAAACGGTGACAGGAATGCGGCAGTAGACTCTAGTTTAGGCTCGGCGTCGTCGCTATTATACAAAAACATAAGTTTGATCCAGTTTGGGGGGGGCCCGCGGATAACGTTAAAATAGATTATAAATTAATGCCCGAATAAGCTTCAGTATCTTGTTCTATTCCTGACGACATTAAATTCTGAATCTGGACATCATCTGTTTTACTTTAAACTATAATAGAGTTTAATATTATTGTAACATGTAATTTCTTTATGTTTATCTGCGATGCTTTCATAATCTAGTGGGCATTTCGGAAACGCTGCGATGAAGGTATGGTTAATTTAAGTTTTCTGTTGCATGATCATGAAGCTTCCTTTAAAGCCATCAAAGGAAATTTTAAGCTCTTTTATCTTTTACGACAGAAACCTAATCATTTTCTGTTATAACCATTTAAATGTAGCTGTCCTTCATCTGTAATAACCACAGCAAGTTTCTATTTTCACGCAAAAAATTATTTTAATATAATATTCTATGTTAGTTAATATGCTGTGCTATATGTCTTGGACGAAAATGATGAGCATATTTTTCTTTTATTAAAATTGATCTCTGTTTACTGCTTTACAGTTCGTAGAGACGGAGATTTTTGAACGCTCGTGGTATTGCCTGTTGAGAGCATGGACCCTATTTAATTACTATCAATTTAATTTCTGAAAAATTATTTCAGCTGCACACTTTTTTCTGTCTATTTGACGCTGTATTCCTATAGAAAAGCAGTGATTGTCAACTTTTCCTTTTTGAATGTTAATGATCAGTATTGATTCGAGAATTCTTATTTCGCATTTATATTGGAAAATAAAAACATTTTCTCTTTGGTAAGTAAAAAATGTATATTTTATTTGAATGAAACATTTTGAGTTTAAAAAAACTCCTTCAGTGTGAAAGCTATTGCCACTTAATCTGTTACTTAATCATTTGTTAATTTCAATTACTCGCTTAATGTGCTAACGAATTCTATAAATTCCCATTGCTTTCTTTTACTTAGGTGGTGATGTGAATGATTTAGGTGCCATCGATGGCCGTAATATGTGGGATGCTCTCATTCAGAATTCTGAATCTCCTAGACATGTACTTCTTCACATTTTGGATCCAATATTTGGTATGTCTGCTCTGAGAATTGGAGATTTAAAATTAATTAATGGGACAATATATGACAAATTAGATGGACGGTATGGTCCTACAGGCTTTGAAGATGTGCATCCCGGCTCTATGGATGAATGGATTTTCAGGGACGGCAGTGTTGTGGAAACTATTTTGAAAAGAATTGGATTATGGCTGCCTAAATCTCCAGATACATGGAGGCTGAACGCAACTATAAACTGTAATGGTAATTTGCCAACAGAAAGCGAAGTATGCGATCCATCAAAAGCACCTTGCCTCTTCAATATTACAAATGATGCTTGCGAATACTACAACTTAGCTACTGAATATCCTGAGGTGAGAATGATTTTATTGTTGATTGAAAAAAAAAAGATTTATAATGTTGTAAGGTCCCTCACCTGAAATTCTAAGTTAATGTTGGAAGTGAGGAACCCAGGAACTGATAAGTGAATAATCGCTAGAGTTCGAAGACAGGAAACAACAAGAGAGAAGGGTAAATAACCCTTTATTATTTCTATAAGATTTCACAAAACTCCGCCTGGGAGTGAACAAATGAAGTCCGCACTTTGGACTTGAACTTAAAAGACTAAGAATTAAACTACGTTCCAAAACTACGTTCTGGCCGGAAGTAGTAAGTTGAAGTTAAGAATTTGACAGGAAAGGAACTTTAACTTAAAATTTAACTGTTAATAAAATTAACATAATCCTTACATAGCTTCCGACCAGACTTTAAAGTCTTAAACAAGGTCGTTTTGAGACCTTATTTTTCGAGTATTTAAAGTCTGAAAAATTATATTAACTACACTCTTCCAACTTTTACATTAACTAAATGACTCTAAAGTTTCGTTTTTAGGGCCAACTTACAACAATTCTAAAGCTAGACTAAAGCAGGAAAAATAAAACTTTACAATGAATTCTTTCTGGACATTATATCTTGACATAAATCTTTATTCAGCTAGACTTATTCAAGTCTTGATCTTCCTATCTGGAAGGAAATGTCATTAGTAATGCATTTTTACAAAACTTGACTTTAAATCCTAGCTTTACGCTTTTAATTCATTATTTGGCTCTTATGCACTTTCATTCATCTACAGATTTATTTCACCCATACTCTCCAGCAAATGTACTGAAATGTACTTAGGGTCTTCTATGTTGTGTTACCGCGAACAAACTACCGCTACACAACACCTAACTTAGTTAAAATTTGACACATTAGACATGCCAAGACTCCCTACACGAAAACTGTTTCCTATTGTAGTAAGCAAAAGCTTATATTTTACTTTTAAACGTGTTAACTGGAGAGCCTAACATTAAACACATATATATCAATATTGCATTCTTCCGTACTCCCATACACAGAAATAAAATTTATTTCTTGTCCTTTTAATCTTTACGATATTTCCACACAAGATCAAACATTTCTACATGAACATGAACCTTAAATATTTACACATTACTTTTGAATTCATTTACAATCAACAGTCATAGTGCTTAATTACACTTACCAACATTACACGAAATTTTAGCTTACGTTAACATATTATAGTATTCCAATAGTCTTCCGACTAAACTTATTCACAACTTACTTCTCGCAATTTGCGAGTTCTTAACAAAAGGTATTTTAACGCTAGTAGCTTCTCGCCAAATTACTAACATAAAAATCTACTAACATAAAAATCAATTATAAAAATCTATGTTTACGAACATTTACAATCAAAATATCGCTATCTGCGATTTAAGTTTTCTAAACATATTTATCAACTTACAACAATATGATATAATTTGAACTTAAAAAAAAAAAAAAAAAAAAAAATTAGCAAAAAAAATTTCACTTATCTTTTTCTGTATTCCTGCATCCTGTCCTTACAGAATTGATCAAATGTAGAAAACCTGATAACCTCCACTTCTTCTCGATGTTCGATGTTCCGCTCCATTCAGTTCCAGTGCTTTCCTTTTCTTCTTATGTAGAATCTGGGCTCTTCCGGGCAGGTTGTGGTTTCTGGAATGCCAATGTCTTTTGACTCCGGTGGGCTCTCCGTCCTTCAGGGTCTTTGAATCTTCTCTTGGCCCCTCAACTTTTGCTCCGGCCGGTTGTGTCTACGGTCTTTTCTGGCTCTCGGTCTCCACTCTGGTCCTCCTTGGGTCTGCCTTGTAGTTGTTGATGCTGGAAACTGTGGTTCACGTATTTTAATTCGTCGTTGAGTTTTCTCCTTTCCTGGGGCGGCCCACCAGCGGCCGAGCGGTAAAGTCGCTGAACACTGGTAGTTCGGTCCGAGGTTCGAATCCCGCGAACGGGCTGGCTGCATGGGCGTTTTCGTGGTTTTCCCCATGTGTAACGTGTATACGAGCCAGTTTCCCTTAGAAAGTCCTCCACGAAGGCATCCCTCCCCTTAGGCAGATAGCCCTAGTGTGCTTTGCCATAATTAAATACACCACACCATTTCCTGGAACCTTGTCCGCAGGCCTCCCTCGTGTGGTCGATGGCACTTGAGTTTTTGCAGCATCGGGTTCTGACTCGTTGATCTGTCGGTGCTAATTCCTCCTTTTTTGTGCGCTTGTAGCCTTAGTGGTATGGGTTCCCGTTCGAAGTTGTTGGCTCTGCTTTCTTTTGGTTGGGGGACTCGAGCTGTACTCCCGAGCTGACGGGCTTCTCTCCTTACTTCCGAATCCTGAATAAATCCTGCTATATTTTAAAGTCAGTGGGCTGTAATAGGTTTTAACTGATCGATATTGCCACCAGTTGTGGCCATTTTCGGCCTTTAAATAAAAAGTGGCTTCTCTTATTCTTTCACTATGTACGGCCCTTCAAACTGGGCTCAAACTTCGCCACTTGTTTTTGGGGCCGACGAAACGAATATTTCAACTTCAGCATTTTGTCCCCATGTATATTCCAATCCTTCTATTTCTATCAAAAAAATCTTTGGTTTTGTCTTGCTATATCAGAACTTTTAATAGCTTCGCAATAATTTTTTGAAAGTCTTTTAACTTTAAAGCTCTTGTCGCTGTTGTACAAAGAATAGCTTATAACGGTTTTGATTTTCTTCCTAAAATAACTCCGAGGGGTTTTCGTAGTATCGTGCTTTGCGGGGCTCAAGGCAAAACCTAACTCTTGACACAGCGTCCCAGCGGTCATGCAAGTTTTCACATATCGTTGATTAACATTTCTTTAACGCGTGCCGCGATATTCGACTCGGTCTATGGGTACCATTTTAGATGGCGTATGCCAGGCCCTGTGCACAAATATTTAAATACTACTAACAAACTGTTTTCCATTATATGACTTTAGTGGGGCCCCGATTTAATATATATTATTAAGAACGAATCGCGATATTTAGCTGAAGTCGTTAAGAGGACTATTTCTACCCATTTGAAAAAGGTAAACGATTGTTAAAAGATATTGTTTTATTGATTTTTGTCCTAGGGTAGGGTCCTAGCAAATCTATTCCAACTATTTTGGAAAGTGGTCTTTTGTTTTTAAATCCCGGCAGGCTGAATTAACATCGTTTTTAATTGGCACATATAGCCGACTTAACATACGCCGTAACAACTTTCTAATTGCGGAAAATAACCGCTTCGCATACCCTCTTAGTGTTTTTCGTATACCGAAATGTGCTGCAGAAGGTAGATCGGTAAATCCTAAGATACGTACGTAGATCACTGGGATTACTGGTCGGTATTCCTGATTTCATTAGGCTTTTTAAAATAACAATTTGTCGATATTTCATATGCTGTGCCCTATTGCGGATAGCTGTTAAATTATATGTCAAATTTTTCAGGGTCTTCCAAGTATGCGTAAATGTTCTTTAAACTGGGTCCTTTTTTAATTCTTCGATGATTGGGACGGAAAACTCTGAGGTGAGCATGGCACACTTGATCCCCTCAAATTTTATTCGCGAAAGGGCATCGGCGACCAGTTTCCTTCCCGGAGTAGTTTTATAATTAAGTTGAACTCTTGTAATTTTAAAGTCCAACGTATCAAGCGAGGCGATAAATTTTTCCTGAATACAAGCGACCCACTGCCGCATGATCTGAGTAGACCATTATCGGTGAACTTCCGAAGAGACCCGAAACTTCTGAACTGCTAATAATACAACGAGCGTTTCTCGCTCAGTAGCGGAATAGTCCCTTTGCGTAGCATTCAAGGTCGAAAAGAAAGCCATAGGTTGCCCATTTGGGAGAGCACCGCTCCAACTGCATAATCGGATGCATCCGCTGAAATTTCTAGACCTTGCTCGCCTTCTGGGAATTTAAGACTGGGGCATTGATTAGGGCATTCTTTTTTGTTCAAACGCGGTGTTCGCTTCGGCTGTCCAAAGAAAATCTACTTTTCTTTCTTTTTTTAGCACTAGAAGAGGCTCAACTATTCTCGCGAAGTCTTTTATAAACATTCTATAATAGGAACATAAGCCCAAAAATGAAGACAATTTCTTAGCCGTATTTTGGGGAGGATAACTTTTAATTGACTTAATTTTTGAATCATCAGTCTCTATTCCCTTATTCGAGATTTTGTACCCGAGATATCGTAATTCCTTCACTGCAAACTTGCATTTTCTTGCATTTATTTTGAAACCGGCCTCGTTAAGTAAAGAAAAAACTTCTTTCAGATGTTTCAAATGTTCCTCTAATGTTTCGCTGGTAACTATGATATCGTCAAGATAAATTACTGTACTTTTACCTAAAACTGGCTTTAAGACTAGTCCATAGCTTTTAGAACGTAGCTGGCGCTCCGCTCAACCAAAGGGCATTCTTAAAAAGGCATAGACGCCTGACTTTGTTATAAACGCGGTCTTCTGGACATCCTCCGGCTTCACGGCTATTTGAAAGTAACCCGACTTGAGGTCTGAACGTAGAATTCTGAAAATTAAGATTTGCGCCGGATGCGCGTAAAAAATCGATCCCCAATATCACTGATGTGAGTAAATTTTCACGACTAAAAAAAATAATTTTATGACCTCGTTTTAATCTGAACTGCAGTGCGGTTTTCCCCAAACATACGCCTGTTTGCCTTGGGCGGCAATTACTTTCTGTCCCGTGCCTTTAACAGTCTGTAACGACGAAAATGTTTTTTGAAAAACGTTTCCGATAGGAATGAACATTGTGCCCCTGTGTCCAGGAGTGCAGGTTGGTACATTATTTACCAATTCTGTATCTCTGGCATAGCAATATTTTGTACTACGACTGTATTAGGCAAATTTCTGAGGGGTCTTCTGTCCTACTCGGTGACCGTTGCCCCTTCTCGATCACCGGTTTGCGTTTAAAGTCTGGTTACCTGCTGCCTCTTTTCGCTGATTTTTATATCCACCGCCCTTAGATTTATCTGCGCTCTTGCTATTAAA